CTCCCAGCCCCCCCCCACTCCATGCAGAAGCAACGTCCGGTCCCTGCTCACCCAGGCCCAGATCCAGGACCCTGATGCCCGAGCTGGGGCTGAGGGGCCCCCAGAGGAGGCTCTGAGATCCCCAAGCAGCCCCCCCCCCCGAAGTCTATGCAGTATCCAGAGCGGGATCTGCAGGTGCCAGCGGGTCCCTGTGGGAGGGGGGGTAGGGGGGGCCCTTGGTCACTGGCCCCAAATGGGGCACATGGGGGCTGGTGGGTGGGTGCCTTGTCAGCAGCCTCTGCTTGGGGGGGCACATTGCCCCAAAGCCCACGGGGTTGGCATGGGTCTGAAGGGTCAGAACCCAGGTGTGACCCTCATGGGCCCAATCCCACGGGGGTAGGTGGGGGGATGGGGACGGCTCCGAGATCCCAGCCACACCAGAACCCCTGGGCACCACCCTGCCCTCCCATACCCCCCCCGCCAGCCCCCGCCCAGGTGCCCCTCACCATGGCCGTGGGAACGGCGGTGACCAGGGAGTAGACCAGGACGGGCGGGGCGCGGCTGGCGTCCTCGGGCCCCGGGTAGGGCTTGGCGTAGGCGCTGTCGTGGCAGAAGAAGCCCTGGATGTGGACGGGGAAGGTGTCGGTGTATTCGAAGTGATATGCGAGCAGCACCGTGCCCGCCATGATCACCAGCTGGAAATAGAACATGGCAGCTCAGCGCCCGGCCCCGGCCCCGGCCCGGACTGAGCGCAGCGAGGGGGGCAGAGTCGCGGGGTGGGAGTGGGGGGAGCCCAGGAACCATCCGTCCCGCCCTCCCCTCCCCCCCCGGCTCCGTGCAAGCTCCCTCGTGCACTCCCGTTCACGCTTCGGTGCCTGCTGTAGCTCCACATCACATCACGGCTGAGGGCAGAGGCGCCCGCCTCAGCCAAACTGGGGCAGACGCCTGCTTCCCCCGCCCCTCGCCTCCCACCATGGCTTCCCCTCACCTGCCCCTCCTCCAGCCGGAGCACCCAAATAAATCAAACCCCCCCCCCACACACACACCACTCTGTGCCTTTTCAAGGCCCCCTCGCCCAGCGGTGAGATGCAGCCGTCTCTGGGGTGGGGTGCAGGGGCTGTTTATACAGGGACCCCTTGCTCGGTGCTGAGATGCAGCCACCTCTGGGGTGGGGCCTGGGGGCTGTTTGGAACAGGAAGGAAGTGATGAAGGATCCGGTAAGCAAGGGAGCGGGGGCTGGGGATTTGCCTCGAACCCCCCAGCCCCTCAAGGGGTCAGGGCCAGATGTTATGAAGCGAAGCAACAGATGGTAAATTTCATTTCTCTGACTCATGACCCTGGCTTTGTGCTCTGAGCTGGAGGGGCGTCATTTAGCCCCCCCTCCCCAGCACGACCTCCCCCCACACTTGCCGTTTAAGACAGGCAAAACCCCTGTGTCTAACCTCTGGAGGAGTCACAGCAGGAGGGGCTGGTGCTAGGGCATGAGGAAGGGGGATTGGTAGGGCACTGCTGCAGGGAAGCTCGCAGCACTGCCTTCCTCTCCCCCTGCCCCTGGCCTGGAGCACTATTGTGGGGAACTTGCAGTACCGGAGTCCCCTCCTCTCCCCAGGCTGGGCACTGCTGCAGAGAAGCTCGCAGCGCTGGAGTCCCCCTGGCCTGGGCACTGCCTGGGAGAAAGTGGGAATTTTTCCTAATGTTTTGTAGGAATACGGTGTGTACCTCAGTTTCCCCTATGTGCTGCATGGGGGTGGAGGTTGTTTACTCTTTGCAGAAGTCCAGGTGTGACTGACACCTGGACCCCAGGGCCCTGGAGACTCCCAGGGAACAAGGACCACGCCAAATGCCCGGACATTTGGTACCTAGCAACTGCGGAGCGTGGATGACGCAGCTGGACCAGGCTACAGCTTTCTGTTCTCTGTGGTAACCAAGGGATTGCGCTGCTGGGCTCCAGAAACTACTAAACCCTCCTGCTCGGAGGGTCGTCACTCTGGAGTCAGGAAGTCGGGGGGCAGGGCTCCCTTTGGGGGTGCAAGTCTCGTGGACTCGCCGCCGGGAGCTCACGGCGTGACCCAGGGGTGCTGACGGTTCAGAGGTTCAGTCCCAGGAGGCGGGGAAGCCGAGGGGCTGACCCCAGTGGGACCCTGAGGGGGCTGACACCCTGAAGGAGTCCTCCCAGGGCCGTGCGAGAGCACTAGGCCTATGGATCCGTGACACTGCCACAGGGAAGCTCACAGCGACAGGTCCCTGTTTTAAGGTATGTTGGTTAATTTTGGATTCTCTCACTGAGCTGAGTGGGGAACAGAACCCAAGAGTCCTGGCTTCCAGCCCCCTCTTTTCTAACCACTACATAGCCAGGGAGGGAACCCAGGCACCCAGCCCCACCGCCCTAAGGCCCAATGCCTTACCTCCACAAACACAAAGCAGGGGATGATGGAAACGCTTCTCTTCAGCTCCTGCTTCCCGCCAGCCATGATGCCCACTCCGGGCGTGGGAGAGAGGGGGTCCCTCCGTGGGGAGGGGGCACCTGACAAAGGAGACCCAAAGGCAGAGGGTTCAGTACATCCCTACATAGCCCCCTGCCCACGCATGGTGTGAACAGAGACCCCAGGTCCCTCCCCCAAGCAGCATCTAGCATGGTCCAACTGCCCCCCGCCCCCGATTCATCTTCCAGGCTGAGATCTTACTGCCCCCCCCCTCAGCTGAGGCCCCCCACGGTTCCTGATCCAGCTGCCATCCTGCCACTCGGCCTCCTGTCCCTGCTCCTTTGGGGCGTCGGGACAATCCGACAAATCGCCCTGAAGCGGGACGACAAGTCGAGATTTTGGAATGTTGGCGGAACGGAAAACGCCGGACGGTCGGGAGCAGCCAGACGCTCTGTTTCGATACGTTTGACGTGTTCGAACAGGACCGAAAACTTGAGCTAGGAGAGATCTCAGCATCCGACGGGAAAGCGAGAGGAATGTAAAACAGCAAAAACACAAGATCTGCTGCGGTGAATGAGAAACTGTTTAATAGAATCTAACCAGAGAAAATAGAATCTAATATCAAAGTGTCATCGATTCTTTTTCTCGGTTTAGATTCTCTTACACTTGCATAGAAGTACAATCTAAATAGAGAAAATATGCTCATAAAATAGAATCTAATATCAAAGTGTAATAGAACCTAAATATAGAAAAAATAATCGATTCTATTTTCTCTATTTAGATTATAGCTCTATCAAATGTAACATAATCTACAGTAGAATAAGAAGATCGAGGGTAATAGAATAATAAATCTTATAAGATCAGAGTATAATGGAATATAGAATGTAAATGTATCAGAGTGTAATATAGTGTGAAAGTTTAAGAGAATGAGAAATCGTGCGCAGCAGAAGGACTGGCTCCATTTTGATCAGTTTCCAAATTTTTCTGTCAAAAAGGAGGTGGAAATCCATCTTTCAGTTGTGTCAAAATGGCCTTTTCTGACAGGAAACACCACTGCCAAAATTCTGGCCACTGCACTGGGTGGGTTCTGGGCCCCATTCGGGGCCGCAGGCCGGGTGCTAGCTGGGTGGCACCTCCGCGGGCGACATACCGAAACGGGGGCACTACCAAGCGGCATCCTCCGTGCGGCATCTCCTCGCCACCCCGTACGTACCAGAGCAAGCCATCTGGAGGACGCTGTGTTGTAGAACTGGGGGGGCAGATGCATTCGGGGCTGGACAGAACCGTTAAACGGGCCGCCAGTTGGATCATCTGATCCCGTCTGCCCGTGCGAGAGATGGGGAAATCCTACCTTTGCGAGAGGCAATGAATTCCAGCCACGTGCATTGTGCAAGAGGGGGTGAGTCCCAGACACACTAGTGCAAGAGGGGGTGAGTCCCAGACACACTAGTGCGAGAGGGGGCGGGCACCAGACACACTAGTGCGAGAGGGGGCGGGCACCAGACACACTAGTGCGAGAGGGGGCGGGCACCAGACACACTTTCCGCCACACTTTCCGGGTTTTGTGCCACCAGACTTTCCCTGCGGGAAGCGCTTGGTCGCCCTTGAAATGGGGCATGTGATCCAAGCCACCGCGGGGGTGTGATGAGATCCAGGTGTGGATCAGCCGAGGTAGGAGCCTTTCTCCCACCCCACGGGGCGATCTCTGCTGCTCCAGTGATTTCTAGAAACTCCCCGTGATTTCTAGAAACTCTGGCTTACAAACATTTGTAAATAAGACTGGGTCTATTTTACGTATCCCTCCACCTGCAGGGTAAAGGTACTAAAACCTAAAGCCTGAAAGTAGTTCCGGCGGAGGTGGACAGGGGGGCACTGCTGGGTGAAGGAGATGCACTGGGAGGTGCTGATTGGTGGGGTGGTTGGAAGTAGTCCCAGCGGAGGTGGACAGCACATGGGTGAAGGGGCTGCATTGGGAGGTGCTGATTGGTGGGGTGGTTGGAAGTAGTCCCAGCAGAGGTGGACAGCACATGGGTAAAGGGGATACATTGGGAGGTGCTGATTGGTGGGGTGGCTAGAAGTAGTCCCAGCGGAGGTGGTCAGGGGGGCACTGCCTGGGTGAAGGGGCTGCATTGGGAGGTGCTGATTGGTGGGGTGGCTGGAAGTAGTCCTGGCGGAGGTAGACGGGTGGGCACTGCCTGGGTGAAGGGGCTGCACTGGGAGGTGCTGATTGGCTGGGAGGTTGGAAGTAGTCCCAGCGGAGGAGGACAGAGCACGGATGAGGCAGTAGCATGACATGTACAATCTACCCCCAGCCCACACACCCGAGAGAGGGCAACAGCCGCTGCTGAGTGACCCGTTCCCTCTCCCAAGAGCCAGCCTGGCAGTGCTGCCCCCAGCCGCCTACACCCAGCAAGCACCCACTCCTGGGGGCTGACTGGGACTCAGGACTCCTGGGTTCTGTTCCCTCTTCTGCCTCTGACCTGCTGGGTGACCTCACTGCCCCCTGTGTGCCTCAGTTTCCCCTCCCACTCTGTGTCTATGTAGCTTATAAGTCCCTTGGGGCAGGGACCGTCTCTCAGTGCGCAGCGCCCAGCACAACGGGGCCCTGATCGCGCTCGGGTGCGAGACCCTACCATAAATACAGTCAACAATGTGAATTCATCTCAACCTTTTTGCTCTCTGCCCCGTGTGTTTGGGGAAATGGGGGAGGGGTGTTGCTCCATTCCAGACTCCCCACCCCCCCCACCCCTTCAGTTACCTTGAACTGAGACCCCGCTTCACCCAGTTCTTTTCCGGATGGGTGGGACCCCCCACCTCCTGGGAGGGGCGATCCCGAGGCGAATACCGCCCCCCCACTTATCCTGTCCATTTCACACCGCAGTTCGGCTGCCCTGGCCGCAGGCGGAGATCCATAGAGATTATTCCCCCCCCCCCCAAACCACACATGTATTTCCCAGCCCCCATGGATAACCCCACACGGTCCCTGCTACCGATCCAGCCCTCAACCCCAGCCCTGCTGTCCAGGTCCTCAGCTGGCATCACACCTGCCGAGCCCCCCCTTTTCTGCGCAGAGTCGGGCTCTGATCCGCCCCCCCCCGCCCGTCCAGCTCTGCCGGGACCACGGCTCCATTGCCCCTTCCTGAGTCGCCACCAGCCTGGTTCACTAGCAACACGCCCCTCGCTCTCATGAGTCACCCAGGAGCCTGGCTCCCGGGCCAGGGATCGCACCGGTACTGGCTACAGAGTGGCACCGAGACTGAGCCAGGCTGGGGGCTGTATATCTCTGTATACCACACGCCCCCTTTTATACAGCCCCCCCTCTATCCATCCCCATAGACCCCCCTTTATACAGCCCCCCTCTATCCATCCCCATAGACCCCCTTTTATACAGCCCCCCTCTATCCATCCCCATAGACCCCCTTTTATACAGCCCCCCCTCTATCCATCCCCATAGACCCCCTTTTATACAGCCCCCTCCCCTCTCTCTAGCCATCCCCATACACCCCCTTTTATACAGCCCCTCCCCCTCTCTCTATCCGTCCATATACACCCCCTTTTATACAGCCCCTCCCCCTATCCATTCCCATACACCCCCTTTTATATAGCCCCCCTCCCCCTCTCTCGCCATCCCCATGTACCCCCTTTTATATACATCCCCACCCCCTCCTCCCTCTATCCATCCATCCCCATAAACACTCCCATCTATCTACCCATCCATCTCCACACACACCCCTCTATCCATCCAATCATCCCCATACGCCCCCTTTATACATCCCCACCCCCCTCGCTGTCCATCCATATACACCCCACATCCATCCAGCCCCATATACCCCCTGTATACATCCCCATGCACGTCCCCCACTATCTATCCATCCATCCCCTTACAACCCCCTTTATACTGCCCCTCCCCCTCTATCCATCCATGTACACCCCTGTCTATCTCCATACACCCTCCTCTATCCATCCAATCATCCCCATGCACCCCCTTTATATATCCCCACCCCTCCCCCTCTATCATCCATATACACCCTCCTCTATCCACCCCCCATCCAGCCAGCCCCATACACCCCCTTTTATACAGCCCCTCCCCCTCTCTCTAGCCATCCCCATACACCCCCTTTTATACAGCCCCTCCCCCCTCTCTAGCCATCCCCATACACCCCCTTTTATACAGCCCCACCTCTATCAATCCATATACACCCCC